TCCGCCAGATTCCCAATTTTGTCCTTGAAAAGTGCTTGTATTTATTTATTTTATTATTTAGTTTTTGTATTGTCTAGATCTCTCTTATTCCTATAACTTTACCATTTCTTCTCTCTTTTTTTTTTCTCTTTTTTTTTTCATTCATTTTCATGGTAGAGCAGTATACCCCTCCTTTGAAGCAATCTCTTCCACCTTTTAAATCTAGAGTAGCAATTAGTGCAATTGCTCAATACTATGGAGTTAGTTGATAATGGCATTTATAGCATGTGGTGTAGTTACTTTTACTCTTGCTACCAATTGAATTTTTTTTGTAGGAATGTTGGGGATAATGAATATCATTAATTTAATCATTATATAATGATTGCCACCCATAATTTTTAGGATGATGCCTAGTATCTATATCAATTTCCCAAGGGATTGCATTGCAATAGTACAGTAGTTTAAACAAAAATCACTTATATGGATTAGAGCCTTCTTCTAGATATCTTCAAATATGCATTTGAAAATGCTAATGACTATAATGATGTCTTTTAGTAATTGCATCATTTTTGTCAAGTGCCATTTGGGTCAGCTATGCAATTTGGTGTTCGCTTCTAGATCATTTTTGCTTTATGCTAAGCTAAATATATCAAAGTGTAAATAACCAAAAAGAACAATTCAAAAGACAATTTATAAAATTCAAATATAGAGAGAAAGGGCCCATAATAAGAGTGCACCTTATTTTTTAATTGATTAAGGGATTTAGGATATTTGGGATTAAACATTATTGGGTTTGAATAGTATTAGGAGTTTACATTTGGTATTAAAAGAGGTTTTGGGTCTAACATTATTGGTTGGCTAGGGGAATCACACTATATATGGAAATTGATATTTAGTAGGTTTAATTTGGCTTTAGCTCTTGAACAGAGGGATAGAGTATCAAGAATGACTTGAAAGATAATCTGTAAAAGTTTAAATATAAAAGGAAAGGGTATATAAACAAAAGTGCACTTGCTTTTTTAATTGGTTAAAAGTCTTAGGATATTTGGGGTTAAGTGTGAATAACATTATGTTAGGTGACCTCTCGAGAAACATAAATTTATGAGTTTATATAGAGTAGATCAAGTTAAATATGTGGCTAGCACTTTATCAAAATCTTGTAGGACTTAAGCATGAATAGAGTCTTGGGATATTTAGGGGTTGGGTAATCTCTCGGGAAGTCCAAATTTATAAGTTTATATAGAGTAGATCAAGTTAGATTAGGTTGGGTAATCTTTTGGGAAGTCTAAATTTATAAGCACTTTGTCAAAATCTTGACAGATTTATGCATGAATAAAAGTCTTAGGATATTTAGAGTTAAGCATCATTAGGTTTGAATAACATTATAATCTCTCAGAAAGTTTAAATTTATGAGTTTACATAGAATAAATTAAGTTAGGTATGTTATGGCTAGCACTTTGTCAAGATCTTATAAGACTTGTGCATAAATTTACCCCAACCACTTTTGACAACCCAGCCACCCTTGACAACACTCTTTGATTGCCACAACACTATGAAACATCACCATTTATAGTGCATATACTTCAACTTCACTTTTTGTGAGAGATAATCCTGTTCTGATGAAAGTTGACACTACTATTGTCTATATCCAAGGATAAATGTGAGGACATAGTTGTGGTCATCATGTTTATTGTTGGGCATGTACTAAGTTAACTATATATATCAGTGTTGTTGGTGTTTACTAGATTGGTGTTTTATATTTTCTAAGTTGAAGCTTTGACATAAACAATGACTTATTGGTGCTATTACGATGGAAGGTTTTGATATAAAGAATTTTCCAAGAAATGAGGAGTCATATGAGTAGTGGAAGGATCTTGTGCAAATAAGTTAATGACCCCTCCATTTTTTTTTTGGAAATATAATTAATAACTTGGCATCATTTCTTTAAGCTTATTTTCATAACAAAAGGTCCTCTATTATCTTTTCTATGTTGGTTGATAAAGGTTCAGGTTTATCTTCTATTGCTTGATTTGTTATCATATATTGCCATCTATATTTGTGTTATGTGCCAAAACTAGTTACAACAACAGCTATACACATATGTGTGTGTGGGATAACGCAAATTTAGTTGTGTATGTGGGTGATCTTGAGTTTGAGTTTCAATCATTATGTGTGGTGGTGAGTCAAACTTTTAATATTATTTTTGATATGAATTGATTGCAATGCAATCATGTTAAATATGACTTTAAATAGTCAAAGTTCTTTGAGATATACCAAAGATGACTACTAACTTCATTAATAATGTTTTAATCCATTTAGAGGGGATATAGGAGAAGCACATCTATGATATTTAAAAGGTATTCCATTGGTTATAGAAAGTTGATTTGAAAATGAAGTGGTCAAAGTGTGTGTTTAGATCCAAAGACATAATTTATCTTGGGTACCTTATTTGTCTTGAAAATTTGCAAGTTGATTCTAAGAATTTTATGGCTTTTCTAATATTTCCTATCCTAAAATATGTGAATAATGTGAAACACTTCTTCAGCATGATCATCTTTTTTATTGTATTATACCCATGTAAGCATTACTAAAGTTGTCAATATTATTTTTCATCTTGTCTAAAGACTACAAGTCGTTATTTATGGATCTTTGATAACTCTTCCAATTTTAGCATATTCTAACTATTTTTTATTCTTTATTTTACCTATAGATGTTTTTGATATTGGTTTTGAAGATATATTAATGCAAGAGAGCACAAGTGTGACTAATCAGTATTATCCTATTATATATATCACCCAAATATTATAACTAATAGAGGTGAATTACTTGACAAAGAAAGAGTTTCTAATAGTAGGTTTTGAGAAGTTTCATGCATACTTGCATGATTTTTAGATATTGTTGGAGGGTGATCATGCTACAATTACTTCATTATTGAAGATTAAAAATTTGGCTAATTGTATTTGTAAGCGATTAAATTTTTCATTCTACTTTAGTCACTTAATCACACCTCCAACCCTTTGGCAGAATCTCACTCACAACCTTCACAAGTCTTATTTCGAACTTAAGGACTTACTAACCTCGTGAATGGCATTTATACCACTCAGCCTTTGCAAATGCTCCACGTGTTTGATCCCATGACCGACACCCAAAGGTACCACCAATATATCAGCCCATTATGCTAAAGCCATGCTCATTCACCCTTGTCACATCAATAAACTAACACCACTTACATCATAGTCTTGTCTCTCAAAGACTAAGCCATCCGTCCATGAGTGGTTATCCTTTGACCACATTTTAGAACCTTTAAGATGCCCAAAGACATGAGGAACACCCTTCCCTAATGTCCCTTCTTCCATCCCCACTAAGTCCCTCTTCATCCACGGTTGTGCTCGCCAACATCACCACTGGGCCAAGGCCCAAAGGCCTAACCACTAAGTCCTATTATCCTTTGGGACTTCCTCACCATGTGACCGTGCTCTTGGTCATTACACTAGAGGATTATTCTTCTTCCTTTCCACGGTCTAGGACTTTGGGACGACATTTTAAAACACTGTGGCCCTATGCACGCTTCGTGGGTACTCTCCCCACCTTCCGCCTTTAGGTGCCCTAGTCATATGGCTAGAGCAAGGTTCTGTTGAGCTACGCTAGATATCCAAGTAGGTAATGCCACCCATACTTGGAATGGGAACATCTACCATTCGATCTCTTGGGGGAGTTAAAGTTGGCTTTTGAATACTTCACTAAGCTACCCTATCTGTTTATTTGTATTCATTCTAGCATTGGATTCCTCAGTGGATATATCATCACCCAACACGTGGGTATAGCCTTTCTTGGTCACACTAGCCTTTCTTGGCCAAAGTGGCTCCATTGGAGTCCTCCCCCTACTATACTTTTAGAGCTCACCAAACCTCCTAGGGTCTAGGAGACGAATGCTTTAGGCTTTCACCCTCGAACTCATACTCGGACTCGGACTTGAACTTGGTTTTGGTCTCGGTCTCCGATTTGGTCTCGGATTCGGACTTGGTCTTAGTCTCTGTCTCAGTCTCAATCTCGGTCTCGGTCTCAACTCCGGACT